CACTAGTCTCTTTTTGAAAACCTCCGGTGATGGGTCGCCCATAAGTTCTGGAGGCAAGCCGTTCCACTGATTCATTGTTCTCACGTTCAGAAAATTTCTCCTTCGTTCTGGCTTGGATCTCTCTTGGTTTCCGCCCCAATCGGTCTATTTCCCTTTCCAACATGCTCCACAAAATGTTTTCCAAAGGGTAGAATGTGAAAGCTCAACCCTCTGCCAGCATTTCCCAATTGGTGTGTCCCTCCCCCCCCACTGCCCCGCTTCCCTTCTCCCCTTTCAAACGCCAGCCAAAAACACACATTTGCGTCCTCTCCGAATCTCTTTTCGCTCCTGGCCTGGTTCATTTCTCGCCATCCATCCGGCCTTTGATGCTCCCACGAACGTTTTTAAATGGATGAAGGAGACTTGGAGGAGTGGGAGGTTTGCCCAGAGTCATTTGGCAATGGGATCCTTAGAAGAGAAGGCGGGGAGAGGCCACGGAGAGGCCCCCTTTGCAGCTTAAGAGCCCTAGGCAGGATGAGTGCATTAAAAAACCCTGCAAAATCTGCCTGAACATGAGTTAAATGTGACGGGAGCATCTCACTCCCTTGCATCCGGTGTTAACTTCATTCCTAATCTTTGTCTAAGCCTTCTCCTGAATGGTTTTGAGGCACCAAGCGTGGAATTGGAGAAGGGAAGGGTGGAAAGGTTCCTCAGAGACCATCTAGTCCAGCCCTTGCTGAGGCAACATCTAACAACATCCCAGAGAGATGGACCTCCAGCTTATGTTTTAGCGTTTCCAATGGAGTCCACCATTTTCTGAAGAGTTCCATTGCCAGACAACTCCTACAATGAAGTTTTTAAGAAGATGTCGGATAACCATTTGTCTATTCTATTCCATTCCATATTTTCTATTCTATTCTATTCCATATTTTCTATTCTATTCTCCATTCCATTCCATATTTTCTTTTCTTTTTTATTCTATTCTATTCCATTCCATATTTTCTATTCTATTCTATATTCTATTGTTTTCTATTCTTTATTCTATTCTATTCTATATTGTATTTTTTTCTATTCTGTTTTCTATTCTGTTTTCTATTCTGTTTTCTATTCTGTTTTCTATTCTATTCTTTCTATTTCTATTCTATTCCTTATTTTGCTCTATTATATTCTATTATTCTATTCTATTCCTAATTTTGCTCTATTCTATTCTACTATTCTATTCTATTCTATATTCTATTGTTTCCTATTCTTTATTCTATTCTATTTTCTATTCTAGTCTGTTTTCAATCTGTTTTCTATTCTATTCTTTCTATTTCTATTCTATTCCTTATTTTGCTCTATTATATTCTATTATTCTATTCTATTCCTAATTTTGCTCTATTCTATTCTACTATTCTATTCTATTCTATATTCTATTGTTTCCTATTCTTTATTCTATTCTATTTTCTATTCTAGTCTGTTTTCAATCTGTTTTCTATTCTATTCTTTCTATTTCTATTCTATTCCTTATTTTGCTCTATTCTATTCTATTATTCTATTCTTTCTATTCCTTATTTTGCTCTATTCTANATGAGGACTACAAAGTTGCAAATATGGCACCCGGCCGCTGCAGCGATCATGGCCCCCGGCCGCTGCGCGGCCCGGTGCCAGGTACTCCACGGCCCGGCACCGGTCCACGGACCGGGGGTTGGGGACCACTGTTATAAAGGACTCCATAATACTGTAATCTGAAGTAAAATCTGACAGTTTGTTTTTATTCCAGTAACTTTTTCTTCTTAAAAAGATGTACGTATATTTCTAATCCAAGATTTCAAATACAGTATATTCTGCATGGAATTCATACGGCCCTATTTATATAGTTCTCTACTAAATAATTATCTTTCTACAAATATAGTAGCAGCTATGAGTGTAAATATCAAACATTCTTATGGAAAACCATTTTTCCAAAGATGAGTAGAAATAATACTTTTATTAAATTCTTAAGTAAAGTTAGTTAAAGATAATAAAGAAACAAATCAATGGATCTAGGCTTATTTCTAAATTCTTTGACTCTGTCAACTCCAAATGTTTTGTCTCCAAAAAGTTTTACAACTAACATGCAGAACAAAGTTGATATTTTGAAAGAACAGGGCAATAGTGATATCAAACTAATGAAACAGCAAACAGTGCCTTTGTATCAAACTGTATTGAAGTATATATATTATAAATCCCAATCTAACCTTATTTGAGAAATTTCAATTCTAAATCTGAGAACACAGAGAGTTTTATAAGATCTTCAGCATGTCTAAATGTGTAGTGTATATTATGCAGCATAGGATTTGAGGCACAGTGGAGCTTCCGTTCAGTTCTATGAGAATTTATACAGGAGACAATAAAATGACTAATCTGGAAACAACAGTTATGATAGTGATTTCCCCAAGGCCGCTCAAATCTTCACAAAGCATTCAAATAAATTGTGCATCCTTTATATATGATTAAAAGGGGCTTTTCTTGACAATCAATTTTGGAGTGTATTAAGAGAATATAAGGAGTCTACTAATGAAGATCTGAGTCTGGGTTTAGGAAACATGGTTAGCATTAATGGCTTGGACACAGGGACAGCATCACTAACTATTTTAGTAAGGCATGCATAAACTGAAGTATGTTACTGGATAAACCCATATCACCACATCTTGCAAAATCTATCAACAAAACCAGTGCCTGTTTGCATTCAAATATTTATATAGAATTAGTACATTTCTTATTTCTGTATGTAATTCTTTAATATTATCAATTGACATAACACATTACAAAAGCATATGAAACATACCAATCCTTTCTCTGTTCCTAAGCATCATTCCAACTGTTAGCAGAATACACCAAATGCCACAAGGGAAAATTACTGCCTACTTGCATTTCAAGATCCACCCAAGCCTGCAACCCCATTCACTCTGGTTTTTGTACCCTAATATATTGGGTACAAATCAAATGTATTACTGTGGTGTCCTATTCAACACTCAATCATTTTCAACTTGTCAACATTAAATGCAGCAGATTTCTAACAGAGAAGGGCAGATGATTTAAGAAAGCACCAAAAGGTATATTATATAGTGTAGCAAAGTGTGCTGGACTGATTATATGGACATCTAGTTGTCGAGCTCCTAAATATGAATCCTGATACCTGAAATGTGGACTATTTTGCAGTCCTGCTCACATTTGAAGACTCTTTACCACGACAGGGGCAACAGGGAAAAACATATAAAATAAAAAATACAAACCAGTAAACAGTGCTTCAAAAAAAATAGCCATTCACATATATAACTGTATATAAACACACATATACAAGTGATTCACAAAAGATTAATCACTTGTATATGTGAAAAGAAATTTAAAAGCTTCTCCCATATTAAGCTCTTCTGGAAAATATTGCAACTGTATTGTGTGCTACTTCAGAATAAAGGGAAGCCATTCCTTTTAAACTTTTATATCTGTGCTATCACTTGTACCAACAGATATTCAGTTTAAATGAACATCCTTCTGAGAACTACAACAAAAGTTGAAGCCAAAATGTGGAATATTTTTAAAAGGTGGAAATCTCAATTGAGGATGGTTTTTCTGTTGTTAATTTTTTTATTTGTGTCTAGGAAACCAAGCAATATTTATGCAGCTGTGCTTAGGAGACTGTCAAGAGGAGTGATAGTCTGAGCTGGTTTTTATGTTCTATGCTAGACAGAGATTGCAAAATATGAAAAGCCATGGTCATCAAGATAAACTCTAAGTGAGGACCATGAAGGAGCCAGAGGGGGAGACCGGTGCAGCAATGGCTCAGCCCCTGTGAAGCCTGAACAGAAATGGAAGTTGGTTAGTTGGCAGTGGGGTTTAGGGCAAACATAGCTGCTATGTTCCACAATGACCCAAATGCACCCTAGTTACTGTACTTAAAACTCTTTTAAAAACAGTTGTGTGCATGGGCTTCCAGAAGTCGAGGGCTCCAAACTACTTTATGCAAAAGGCTGTAATACAGCAACATACATTAGGGTAATACAGCAGTTGTCTATTAAAATAATATTTAAAGTATATCATGCTGGACACCCATTTCATTATCAATCATTTTGAAATACTACATATTTCAAAGTTTCTTGACATAACAATTCAGTCCAGAAATTATCATTCTGATGGCTGTTCACAGGGAAAATAGAAAAGTGAGCTCAAAGAGGAAATGCATCTCATTTAAATCAAGCTTAGGACATTCCAGTGATTCTGGAAGAAAAAAAAATCAGAAAGGATCATTCTACATAAAGAACAACTGAAAAGGGATTTAACCAGCATAGAGGTAGTCTTGGGGTTATAATGGAAATTGGGATTGGGTAGGGGGGATGCTGCAGGATGGTGAAAGAGTGGGAGTGACATACTGGAGCAACTGGCAACCTTCCCTGCTGGCTTCCTTATGTAAGGTAGGTTGGCAAATAGCAATTCTATAACATGGTTCCCGGTGATAGCAATAGCAGTTAGACTTATATACCGCTTCATAGGGCTTTCAGCCGTCTCTAAGCGGTTTACAGAGTCAGCATATTGCCCCCACAGTCTGGGTCCTCATTTCACCCACCTCGGAAGGATGGAAGGCTGAGTCAACCTTGAGCTGGTGAGATTAGAACCGCTGAACTGCAATTAACAGTCAGCTGAAGTGGCCTGCAGTACTGCACCCTAACCACTGCGCCACCTCGGCTCTTATGTTGCATCACGAGCCAGACACGCAGAAGCTCAGATCGGAATCATGTGACAAGGGTGGTAGAATGGCCAAAACATCTTGAGGACCAGTCGTATTTTCATTTTTTCAGTGCCGCCCAAACTCTGAACGATCACTGAATGACGTTATATAACTGGAGGATTTCTTGTATTGTGCTTGATTCTTTTTCTAACAAGTAATTGTTAGAAAAGTAACTTTACTGGCTGGGGAATTCTGAGAGTTGAAATCCGGCAGGCTTGAAGTTGCCAAGGTTGGAGACCTCTGCTCTGTAGCACTCAAATTACCCAATCCATACCAAACATCTACTGTATTCCCTCCATTCAAATCATCCATGCTGGAGTGGCAGAGTCTGCTTCTTCAAAATACTGCAGTTAGAACATTTCCCGGTTTAATACAGAAATTCTAGTACAATGGATACATCCAAATATGAAGAGGTCAGTAACAAAAGTAAGCATTTTCAATAAACGGTAACATTTTGCACATATCCACAATATTTGTTTGCTTTTGAGAACAAAGAAGCAAGTGTGCAATAACTACTTTGCACACCAATAGAAACATTACTAGTATAGAAATCTCAACACGGATCACATCTGCATTTTTATACAAACATGATTTGCAGGATATATTGAGTAATCAAATAATATTGACATGTCACATAATAATACTTATTGCCAGTCAAGGCAACTGATTAAAAATTGTGATACACGCTAGAGTCCAACAGATTAAAAAACAGAACTAGTTGCCAGTAGAAGAATGGTCTGCTTTTAGTACCGCCTCATATGGCATTTTTTAAAAAGCTGTTGGGAGTGACCATGATGATTCTTTCGGATGGTGGATTGATTCTGGCTCCAGAGTCAGTTCTGGTGGGTCACAGGAGGATCGGGGTTTGATGTATCTATGTGGATAGATAAAGCTGCTAGAACACAACAATAAAAAAGAAAATACAGTGAAAAGTAATGCCAGATAAAAAAAACCTACCATTTTTAATATCAAGATTTATGTGCCAAACCCCACCATTTATTCAATCCTGTTGTTACTAATTAATTTCCTTTCAACCCTTAATTTCTTTTCAACCAGGCTGGAATGTGGGTTGAGGCAAACTACTAAAAAAAGTTTACGTTTCTGCAACAATATCTCATTACCTGCTTGATTTTTTAAAAAGAAATATACTTGCAAGCCACACTTCACTGATATATGTTTTGCTCTCTGATCAATATATTCTGTACAGCCAGTCACTACACAAACATCAGTAAAACATCTTTTTGCCAGACTGCAAAATGCAAGAAGAAAAAAATCAAACCATTCACAGCTCCTATGAATTAACTCACTCTAAAATAGTGTTTCTCAATCTCTGTATGCAGCCAGGAGATTTCTGGGAGTTGAACTCCACACATCTTAAACTTGCAGAGTTGGGAAATACTGCTCTACAGCTTTTGAAAATCACTTCTGAACTCACACCAGAGAGCTCTGCTAGTTACAGCAAGTCTTCCTGTTATTATACATTGTGGTAGTGAAACACACCAATCAGACTTTTAGCTATACAATTTGGGATGAACACCTTTGGAATGGTGTGGGAGTANTAATAATAATAATAAAATCTTTAATTATATTGTTCCTATCCTGCATGTACACAAATCCCAGGGACTGCTAGAAAGCTTTATGTCCCAGAAGACAATCAGCAAGGACAGAGAGACTGATTTAGTATTTAGTGCATGGAGAACAACTTAATTAAGTGATACTTTAGAAATAGCATTGAAGCATTGTTACAGGCACTGCACTTGGGCATGTATCTCATTGTTTTGACAAATGTACTGGGAGAATTGCTTTGTAGCTAGTTATGTTTCTGGAATACGACTGGCTAGGACTTGTTATTGCTGTCATCCAAGGAGGAATTACGCAATCATTTTAAAACAGGAGGAGGAGGAGAAAAAGAAAGAAGAAAGAGGAGGAGGAGGAGAAGAAGGAGAAGAAATAGAAAGAAGAAAGAGGAGGAGGAGGAGGAGGAGGAGGAGGAGGAGGAGAAGGAGAAGGAGAAGGAGAAGGAGAAGGAGAAGGAGAAGAAAAAGAAAGAAGGAAGGGGAGGAGTGGAAGAAAAGAAGGACATCTGATTTTTTTTTTCCTTTTCTTATTTTAGTAGATGATAGCAGGGAGAAGGAAAATATGGCTTGGGATATTAATTGGAACTCTTGCTTGAACAATTGTGTTAGAGGTGGTGATACTTGTCAAATAGATTTAAAAGTATAAGTTAAACTCAAAGACAGAAGGGGAAAGAGAGTATTCTACTCGATCAGTACTATGTTAATAACTGCTGAGTACAATTTATGGGTGACATTTCGAAAAATCTTGTCTTGGAAATACCATCCAAATCCTGATTGATTTCTCCCCCTCATTTAAATGAATGACAAGATAGGTTGATTGAGACAATTGTTTTATGACGCATGCTTACCTTTACCTGATATATGGCCAAACGTAGCACAGACTTAGTTTTCTACCTTTTTTTTGGTGCAATGAAATGTAAAAATAGAATAGCACCAGCAGTGGAGAACGAAAAGAATGCAGCTTCTTTTCCATGTTCAATGCAACAGAAAGAAGACAAGCTGTTTTCTCTTCCATCCGATTCAGCAAAAAACATTTGAAAGCAAGCAGGATAAGGGTTTGGTGCAATGGTACTCTGTAATAACACGGTGGCTCAGTGGCTAAGACGCTGAGCTTGTCGATCAGAAAGGTTGGCAGTTCGGTGGTTTGAATCCCTCGCACCACATAACAGAGTGAGTTCCCGTGACTTGTCCCAGCTTCTTCCAACCTAGCAGTTTGAAAGCATGTAAAAATGCAAGTAGAAAAATAGGAACCACCTTTGGTGGGAAGGGAACAGCATTCTGTGCACCTTCGGCATTTAGTCATGCTGGCCACATGATCAGGGAGATGTCTTCAGATGGTGGTGGTGGTACTAGAAAATGAGAAGTATTTATTCCCAGAATAATAAACAATGTAATATTTTTTTCCTTCTTAAACTTAAGATGTAAGATTAGTTTAATCCAAAGTGATTGGGGAGGGGGGGGTTGGATGTCAACTCTGACAATGTTTTTGTACTGTGAGTTTTGAAGAGCTGTCTAATACTACATTCAAAGAGAGTGTAAGGAGTCATTCAGTTGGAAACACCTATAAGCTGGAAACTTGCAAAATGTCACAATAATAACACAAACCAGGGATGGCCAACTTTTGTGTTCTTGGGAACTGTTCTGTTTCCCTGGCAGGAGACAAGCGGCTGGAAGTGAAGTCTGATGCTCAGGCTGACCCCTTCGCAAGCATTCATGCTTCATAATAAAGTTGACAGCTTCTACAGTGAGAGTGTCAATATTTTGAAAGATCTATGCTCAAAAACACAGGCTGTTCAATTGTGCAGTTATGTATTCCACACTTGTATTGTCAAAAACAACAGTAGGAGAAGTAGTGATCTAACATTATGGCGAACGTTTCATTCCCAGGAAGTATTAAGCAAGAAGAACATTTGAATTTTTTAAAAACACCCTGAAAATGTTTCCAAGTTTCTGAGAGTGAAACATCTGTCAGATATTTTTCCTATCTCCTGACATGCAATTTGGGTTTTTTTTTTAAAAAAAGGCTAAAAAATTAGAACAGGCTTAAGTTTATTACTTTACTTATCTGTACAATTAAGGTTCCTGCAGTCCCACACTTGGCCACTTGATGTTCAGTCACTGGTTAGTCAGGATGTGATTCAAGCCAACTTTGATTTGAATTTTTGGTTCAGCTGGAATTTGCATTCAATTGGCCTTTAGAATTTTGTTGTTTCTTTTTTTAATTGAAAAAAAGTTTTTTTTTTAATTTTTCCTTTCAAATTCATTCTTAAATATACATTCTTATAATTGCTATTTAACATTTGTCAATTCATATCATTTTTCCACCTGTATATTTACATTTTCATACTTTCTTATTTCCCCTCCCCCTGATTTAATAATGTGTCGTCTGAGTTATGTGTTTTGTTCTTTGTTCCTTTCTCTTTCTCTTTGTATCTTTTTTCAAGCCAATCGTAAAATCACCCCCCCATGTCCTGTAATACACTGATTCCTCTTTGTCCTTTATTTTCAACGTCAACCTATTCATTTATGCAAAATCTAATATCTTCTTTATTATCTCTCCTTCTGATGGGATTTTGTCTGCTTTCCAATTTTGTGCAAATGCAATTCCAGCTGCTGTTATTATTTGTACAATCAAATATAAATCTTCTTTAGTATATTTCTCTGTTAGAATACCCAATAAAAATATATCTGGCTTAAATTCTATGGGCCTTGAATGTGATTGGAAGGATTGGTTTGATTTGATTAGATTAGAACAGGCCTGAGGAGGGGGGGTGCAGCCGGTACATTGTTCAAAGGGGTCCATGGAGTTCAAAGGAGACCCATGAAGGGGAAATTGTCAGCCTCTATACCACTTGCTTCTATCGGCTGCAATAGTAACAGGGAGGGAGGGGCTCATGGTATTTTGGAGGGGAATCCTGCTGGTGGAGATCTCTCGAAAGAGGGAGTTTTGCTCTCACCATCTTTCCCACATGCTGAAGGCTCCTGTTTGGGTTTGATCAAGGCCAACCATCTCTGCTTATCAGCTGAATGAGGCCACTTGAAGATGCATCCCACATGACACTTTTGGGGGTTGGAGATTGGACATTTGGTTGTGGTAACTGGGGGGAGGGATTTGGGTAAATGTTTGATATGTACAAGTTTGCGCCTTTTTGCCTCAGATCTTGCTTTTCATTTCAAATTCAGTAAAAGTACCTTTTCTCTAACTAGTTGGAGTTGGGGGTTCCTTTCTTGGATGTTGTATGAGGCACGCCTGACAGAAATATTTTAAAACATTTTTACGAAACCAAATTTTTTAAAAGAAAAACAATACTGGGTATATAATTCGTACTCTGTATGTATAGCAAAACTGCCTTGCAGCCTTGTTTGACATAACCTTTATTAATCTGAAACTCAGCAGCCAGTTATTTATGTAACTTATTGAATTTAAATTTCATTACTTCTTGATTTAAGTTTGCAAGTTTAGTTTCATTTCATTTATGAAATATATTTTATAGTTCCTTTCAGTTTATGAATGGTTATGAAATGTCACCTCAAAAATGTGGAGCTCAAAAACACCAGGAAAAAGAGAAATGGGATGAAATGAATAAAAAGGGGCAACAAACACTTTTTTCAATTTGGCGTTAAATGCAAAAGAAGCGAAACCAACCAGAATGAAACTTTTAATTCAGAACAAGGTGAGGCAAGGGCAGAACTGAAACAAAGATCCGACTCTCATGAGACCAGTCTGGATTTTCA